AGCAAAGGCTGTGAATACTTATGTACATGTGTTTTTTTTTTATTTTTTAATAAATTGCAAAGATTTCAAAACGAACTTCTTTCACGTTGTCATTATGGGGTGTTGTTTATAGAATGTTGAGGAAAAAAATTAATTGAATCCATTTTGGAATAAGGCTGTAACATAACAAATGGTGGCAAAAGTTAAGCACTGTGAATACTTTCTGGATGCACTGTATGCTGCTTTTCTTCTTTAAAGTCATTTGAATTATGTCTTCTCCAAGGTATCAAAATAGTTTTCTTAAATGTAAAGCTTAACTAAACTATTCTAATATTTTCAGATTAAGCATTAAAAAAATCCCAAGATTTGTCCAGGTGATGAAAATGACCATACCATTGCATTTTAAAACATTTGCATATATTCATGTATGGTCCAGTCAAGGAAACCTTCAAAAATTATATAGCTAACACAGAACATAAAACAAAATGAAATTGTGAAAAAAGAAATAAAATATGGGATTAAATAGCCTTAAAACATTCTCTGGAATCACTCCTTTCTTCTCCACAGGCAGTTTGTAGCAATTATCCAATTGTTATAGACAATAACACTTAAAAGGTTACAGAAAAGGATTGGTCAAAGTGCTGATGCATGAATACTGCAGGTGGACAAAAATAATAAATTGTTAATCTTTAGGGTCTAGCTTATATTTTAAAAGGCAAAATGTTACATCTGATGTTGGCCTGAAAAACTATTGGAATATTAGTTTTGATAGCTGAGAACTGTTACTGTAATAATGTCTATCAGTGGGGTGCATGGCCACTACAGAGCAATAAAAAACACAAATATTTAATATTATCATTACCAAGGTTCAGGACACATTTGTCAGGCATGAGGAATTATGTAGCTGCAACATGAAAAAATAGAAACCTACTAGAGGCCTGATATTTTCATTTTCCCCACTTTTAAATAATGAAATGCATTATAACAATAGATCAGTTGGCATACCGGCAGTTGTAGCAGTTTTTCCCAATCATCAAGACATTAAAGATTGGATTTCATACAATATGTACATATGACTAAACATGCAGCATCACTGTATCTCAAAGATGAGCGGATAAAACAATGTTATGATACACTTAAAAGCACCAAGAAGAATATTTTTTCATTACTGAGAAAAGTGCAAACTGTGAAACTTGGAAAAGTAAGTTTCTCTCTCCCTCTGTGTCTCCCAACAATCAGTGCTTTGTTCATGCATAGAAGTATTGTCCTTTATGACCTTGCCATAAGCACAGTCACTGCCATATGACAAGCTGGAAATGCACGCATATAATCACAGTCTGTTTCGTGTCTGAAGTTTACTCTTTGAGAAAGAAACACAGTTTTGCATATTTAAAATTCATATTTTTTTATAGTGATACATGGATGAGCATTGAAACAAAAATAACATTTTTATCCACAGACATCTGATTTGAGGTTTGTTAATTTTTTTTTTCATTGCTTCTTAATCTGATCAGAAGTCCATAACAAAAACTGTCATATACTATGCTATGTATGGTATGTTTAGGGTATATAGCAAACTTTCAGGCCCTCTGATCACCATTTTAAGCCTCATCACTGTTACAGATTTTTTTTCATGGATTGAGAACTTTTGTCTAAGCTATCATAGAAAAGTACCTCTTAATATGAACATGCAACATGCAGATACATGGAATATGCATTTTTACATATGCATTTTTTATTGCTAAAAACCACCCATTGCAGTTCTCAAAGTTGGCACAGCACAGGTCCATGTGGCAAGAGGTTACAGTCACCGTTACCAAACATCCCAGCTCGGGGATGTAGGTGAGCGGATATTCCACCTAGCCAATCCAGTGGTTTACCTCTAATTCTGGATGTGTTTCTTACTTTTAAATAATGAATTATCATGGAATGAATCTATGCCACTGTGAGGCACATTGCAGGCCTCATAAGGGTATAGATTAACTAGTGTGTTACTAGCAGCCAAGGGCAAGTGGCTCCCATCCATCCGGGCTTTTTAGTGCTTGGACTTTCTGTTTGAAGAGGTTACAGTCCTACCTACATGTATCATGAACAGACTTTCACTGCAATGGATAATGTGCGGTTGAATTTTAGAGTAAAATGAGTGAACTCTCCTAATTTTAGGACAGTTGCAATTTTTCTCGAAAATCATTTACTGGTTTCCTGATGCTGTTCCTTAAAATACAGATGCATCTTTGTATTAAAAACCTTGTATGTGCTCCCCAACCCCCTTATCTATTATAAACAAATCAGAACTCAGATGTACAGTGGCTTGGTCCCCCTTTAGACTGCCTGGTCCTCTAGTTACATATACAGTTACATAGTTAGTCTGGTTGAAAAAAAAGACACAAGTCCATCTAGTTCAACCAATAAAAGGAAAAAAAAAATATCCAATCCTATATACACAATCCTATACCCACAGTTGATCCAGAGGAAAGCAAAAAACCTTGATAAAGCTTGATCTAATTTGTTCCATCAGGGGAAAAAAATCTTTCCTGATCCCCCAAGAGACAATCTGATATTTCCTGGATCAGCTTTACCTATAAATATTAGTACCTAGTTATATTGTGTACATTTAGGAAAGAATCCAGGCCTTTTTTAAAACAATGGCCAGAACCAGCTCTTGAGGGAGTCTATTCCACATTGTCACCACTGTGAAGAAGCCTTTCCATATTTTGAGGTTAAATCTCTTTTCCTCCAGACAGAAAGAGTGTCCCCTTGTCCTCTGTGATGACCTTAAAGTGAAAAAGTCCACACCAGGTTCACTATATGGACCACCTATGTATTTATATACGTTGATCATATCCCCCTTAATCTCCTCTTCTCAAGAGAGAATAAATTCAGTTCCTCTAATCTTTCCTCATAGCTGAGCTCCTCCATGTCGCCTTATCAGTTTGGCTGCCATCTTCTGCACTTTCTCCAGTTCCTGGATATCCTATTTGTGAATTGGTGCCCAAAACTAAACTGCATATTCCAGATGAGGTCTCAACACTGAACCTTGGAGTACACCACTAACAACCCTAGACCATTCAGAGTATGAATCATTAGCCACTACTCTCTGAATACGGTCTTTTAGCCAGTATTCTATTTATTTACAAACAGATTTTTTTCAAGCCTGTGGACTTTACCCTACACATTAGCCGTGTGTGGGGAACTGTGTTAAACGCTTTTGCAGAATCCAAGTATATAGTATTACGTCCACAGCCACTCCTTTGTCTAAGGTTTTGCTTACCTCATCATAAAAAGAAATCAGATTTGTTTGACAACTTTGTGAATCCATGCTGTCCGTTACTTAAAATATTTTTTTCTAGCAAGAACTCGTCTCTGTGGTCTTTTGTTAAACTCTCCAGTATCTTCCCGAATATAGAAGGTAAACTAACAGTTTGGGCGGCACAATAGCTTAGTGGGCGGCACAGTGGCTTAGTGGTTAGCACTTCCGCCTGGCAGTACTAGGGTCATTGGTTTGAATCCCAACCACAGCACTACCTGCCTGGAGTTTACATGTTCTCCCTGTGCCTGCGTGGGTTTCCTCCAAGTACTCCAGTTTCCTCCCACACTCCAAAGACATGCTGGTAGGTTAATTGGATCCTGTCTAAATTGGCCCTAGTATGTCTATGAATGTAAGTTAGGGACCTTAAACTGTACACCCCTTGAGAGTTAGGGACTGATGTGAATGTGAATATATACAATATATATATATATGTGTGTGTAAAGCGCTGCGTAAATTGACAGCGCTATATAAGTACCTGAAATAAATAAATAACAGGTCTGTAGTTACTTGGTAAAGACTTTGATAGTTGTACTGCATGGATTCTTTTCCAGTGGAACTGCTCCTTTGAGCAGGATCATCTACATCTTTCAAGACGCCCTGTAGAAGGGGCAAAACACGATGATGCAATTTCCTGTTCCGGTTGATTATAGCAAGAGGAGTGTACGCAATCCAGTGGTGCTAGGGAGCAATTTTTTGGATACTGTACCTCTATATATACACAAGGCAAATTGATTTTTATGAAATGTGAGTGTAATTTTATTAGAGTAAATAAATGGAATAACAATATTACACTATGAGAGTCTCTTCTGCTTCCCTTTGGTACACATTTTATGACAAGCTAAATATATCGGCGGATTGAGCCTTTTCACATAACAGCTGTGGATCCGGTATTTTTATATGAAGGTATCCTGGAAACATCTGCGAACACACCCCACCAGAGAAAAGCATTTATTGACTCTTAAGCCCACAAAGCTAGGAGTCCAACGTATCTGGTAAGTGAGGACTGCAGAGGGGTAGAGAACACAGAGCACAATCGATTGGTATCGCTGTGAGCACGGGACACTGTCATTGGAAGATAAAAGCATGGAGCATGGGGCATATGGATTTAGGATTTATATTGGAATGTGCTGTGTTTTATTAGTTATTAGTATTTTTAGTGTATATCACTTTGAGCAGCAGCATTTCTTTGCACAGTATTTCTGTTTATATATATAATTTCTATGCACAGTTTTTTTGTGGAAATAGTAGCGCAGGTTATTTGTTGTTTAGGACCATCTACATGCTCTATAGCAGTGGTTCTTAACCTTTTTGGAGGTACTGAACCCCACCGGTTTCATATGCGCATTCACCGAACCCTTCTTAATTGGAAAAATTAAATATGATTTTTAAAATTCAAAACATAGGTATATATTTATACATAGGTGCACAAAATGAACAAAACCATTAAGAACAAAGAACAAAACCATTAAAACTAGAGATGAGTGAATCGAACTTGGCGAAGTGGAATTCGTTTCGAATATTAGGAAAAATTCGATTCGCACCGAATCCGAATTTTAGCAAACTTCGGATACACGAATCGAATTTTCCCCGATCAGCCGGCAAAAAAAAGTGTCACTGCAGAGAGCTCCGCTATTTCTGACAGTTCTCTGACAGTTCCTTCACATTTACAGCGGTTGAAACATTGTATCTATTTGTTTCCATTTAGGATACAGATGTTTTTATTCGGAAACAAATAGATACAATGTTTCAATCGCTGTAAATGTGAAGGAACTGTCAGAGAACTGTCAGAAATAGCGGAGCTCTCTGCAGATACACTTTTTGCTGTACTGGAATTCTTCTTCTTTTCATTCTTCTTCTTCTTTTCATTCTTCTTTCTTCTTCTTCTTTTCATTCTTCTTCTTCTTTTCATTCTTCTTCTTGTTCTTCTTTTCATTCTTCTTCTTCTTTTCATTCTTTTTTTCATTCTTCTTCTTCTTCTTTTTTCATTCTTCTTCTTCTTTTCATTCTTCTTCTTCTTTTTTCATTCTTCTTTTCATTTTCTTTTCATTCTTCTTCTCGTTCTTCTTTTCATTCTTCTTCTTTTCATTCTTTTCTTCTTCTTTTCATTCTTCTTTTCATTCTTCTTCTTTTCATTCTTCTTCTTCTTTTCATTCTTCTTTTCATTCTTCTTCTTCTTCTTTTCATTCTTCTTCTTCTTCTTTTCATTCTTCTTTTCATTCTTCTTTTTCATTCTTCTTCTTTTTCATTCTTCTTCTTCTTCTTTTCATTCTTCTTTTCTTCTTTTCTTCTTCTTCTTCTTCTCATTCTTCTTTTCTTCTTCTTCTTCTTTTTTCATTCTTCTTCTTCTTCTTCTTCATTCTTCTTTTTCATTCTTCTTCTTCTTCTTTTCATTCTTCTTCTTCTTCTTTTCATTCTTCTTTTCATTCTTCTTCTTCTTCTTTTCATTCTTCTTCATTCTTCTTTTCATTCTTCTTTTCATTCTTCTTTTCATTCTCTTCTTCTTCTTCTTTTCATTCTTCTTCTTCTTCTTTTCATTCTTCTTTTCATTCTTCTTCTTCTTTTCATTCTTCTTTTTTCATTCTTCTTCTTTTCATTCTTCTTTTCATTCTTCTTCTTCTTTTCATTCTTCTTTTCATTCTTCTTCTTCTTCTTTTCATTCTTCTTCTTCTTCTTTTCATTCTTCTTTTCATTCTTCTCATTCTTCTTTTCATTCTTCTTTTCATTCTTCTTCTCATTCTTCTTTCATTCTTCTTCTTCTTTTCATTCTTCTTCTTCTTCTTTTCATTCTTCTTCTTTTCATTCTTCTTTTCATTCTTCTTTTCATTCTTCTTCTTCTTCTTCGTCGTGCCCCGTGACTGCCCAAATGAGTGAAGTGTGCGGTGATTCTAAGATCGACGGCACTCATCTGCATGTCATACTGACTGACAGTATTATTTCTCTTCTCCAGCAGACTCCAAGGGCATTTAAATTAAAGGTACAGTGTTCTGCACTAATATAAAGGCTCTCTGAAGCCTAGAAACCCTTTTAATAAGTTAAATTCGCAGCGAATAAATTTGCATCGAATCGAATTTCTCCCGCAAATTCGGTGAATCAGCCGAATCGAATTTTTGAATAATTCATTCATCTCTAATTAAAACATGATTTTCACACAAAAAAAAACAAAATAATGAATATTTACCGCAAATCAGTGTGACTTCTGCTGTTGTCTTTCAGAGGCCAGTTCAGAAATGCGCGGCATTACCTTGGCAAGTGCCACTCTCATGTCATTTTCGCAACAAAGTCTGTTCCTTTTCTTCGTCTTTATGTCCAGCATCCTCGAAAAGGATTGCTCGCAAAGATATGTTGTAACAAACGGTATGAAAATTCATCCCCCATAGTAATTCATCCCCCATATAGTAATTCATCCCCCATATAGTAATTCATCCCCCATAGTAATTCATCCCCCATATAGTAATTCATCCCCCATATAGTAATTCATCCCCCATAGTAATTCATCCCCCATATAGTAATTCATTCCCCCATATAGTAATTCATCCCCCATAGTAATTCATCCCTCATAGTAATTCATCCCCCATATAGTAATTCATCCCCCATATAGTAATTCATCCCCCATAGTAATTCATCCCCCATATAGTAATTCATCCCCCATATAGTAATTCATCCCCCCTATAGTAATTCCTTCCCCATATAGTAATTCATCCCCCATATAGTAATTCATTCCCCATATTAATTCATCCCCCATATTAAGTCCCCCCTGTGTCAATTCACTTACCTTTGCTCCGCGCGTTCCTCTCGCTGTATTCCCGCGCCGTTCCGGTCTTCAGGGCGGACTGTGAGAGGAGCCTAGCTCCTCTCACGTTCGTCATGCTGCCCCCGCCTACACACATCCTGACAGCCAATCACTGGCTATCAGGATGTGAGTGGCAGCGAGACTGGCCAATCATTGCATTTGAGTCCCTGCCGCCCGAGAGGAGGGAGGGGAGCGGGCGCGCCGGCACACAAGAGCCGCGGCTTGCCAACCACTGGGCATGTCATCACAAATCATGAGTCGGGTGTGGGTCACCTCCGCCGAACCCCCGAGCCTGACTCACCGAACCCCTGGGGTTCGATCGAACCCAGGTTAAGAACCACTGCTCTATAGACATAGATAGATATGAATGAATACATTATAATCCCAGTAAGTGTTATATAGCTTGCAGTCTCACCTCTGCACTGCAGCACTGCAGCACTGCAGCACATGTGCTGAGTGAAAATCGAATGTGAACATTGCCTAGTACAGGAGAGAGCTGACTAGACATGTGCAATTTGTTTCCTTACAAATGGAAATTCAGACAAAATTTTCAATATTCAGAGATTTGTTTTTTTTTATGCTTTTTTGATGCCTTTTTGCCACTGTTTCTATTCATTTCAGTGTAGAGGGGCATTTTTGGTGCAGTTTTTTAACCCCACCAGACATGCACCAAAAAAATGCAGCAAGCTGCAGTTTTAAGAGCCCTTTCCAATCAGTTAAATTGGAAGAAAATTACTTGAAAAATGCATCTATTTAAATCCTGTGGAACTCTTCACACTGGTCTGTTGTTTTCCTATTGCATTTTTAAAAGTTCTGCTTGCTACATTTTTGGTGCATGTTTGGTGCAGTAAACAAAATGCACCAACAATGCACCTCTCCATTGAAATGATTGGGAAACATGGCAAAAACACATAAAATACGCAACAAATTTGTGGGAAGTTTTTGTCCAGTCACATGTCCGAAAAACACCCCGCAAACGCATAAAAAATGCAGTGCACCATGGAAAAAAAATGCATATATGTTTTTGCCATGTTTTTGCAATGGAGCAGTGTGAAAACAGCCGAAAAAACACAGCTGAAACACAAAGGGCCAGTGTGAAGAGTTCCAATAAGATTTAAAGGGACACCTTTTTTTAACTGAAAAAACTGATCAAAACTAATCAATGAAAGAGACGTTACTGTGTTTGGGTTGGATGAAAGTGAATCAATCATAACATAATCAATGAATCCAAAATTAATTTTGTTTTATTTGTTATGTTATGACTCAGAGATTATGATGAAGCCACCTCCATCCAGCCCAAACAAAGTGCATAAATAATTTCCTGAAATAACAAATTAACACATTTAGACGAATATAGCCAATGTTCTGAAATTCAAAACGATTAGAAATTATACTAATCCAAACATACTAAACTAATTCAGAAAACAAATCATTCTAACATAACGAATATGACGAAACAAAATGATTAACTTAACAAGCATGAATAATATGAAACAAAGCAAATTTTTCCATCATTCATATCTCTAGAGCTGACAGTGTAAAGAGGGACTGAGCTATATCTAAAGTCTAATTTTGGGTAAAATAGAAAAGATATGGGGGGTGTTTGGGAAGCAGGATTTTTTATATCAGTTATTCTCCCTTTGTTAGCCTGTGACAGCAGGACAAAGGGAGTGTTTGTCACCAGTTGTATATACAGGCAATACCGGGAAATCTTCCCTATGTTGTCTTAAAAAAAAGCTGAAATTCCTTCCACACTCTGTCCAAGAATAAACAAAAAATAGTTTTTGATCGAAAATAGGTTTTCCATTTGCTAACCTAGCTAATCTGATTGCATTTGTTACCATTAACAAATTGACCTCCACAGGATTTACCCCCCTTCATAATGAGGCCATATTTTGCAATACGGCACTGCATTGCTTTAACTGACAATTGCACAATCATGCAACACTGTACCCAAATGAAATGTATGTAATTGTTTTCCCCAAAAATGAAGCTTTCTTTTGGTAGTATTTGATCATCACATTTTTAAACATTTTTTTTGTGCTATAAAACTATTTTTAAACCAAAAAAAAAAAAAATTTAAAAATAAATCAAATTTCTTCATAAATTTAGGCCAATATGTATTCTGCAAAAGATATAGCAACTACAAACTATAGTATATATACTGGAACTTTTATTTATTTATTTTAATACTAGTAATGGTGGTGATCAGCTACTTATAGAAGGACTGCGATATTGCGGTGAACAATCTGACACTGACACTTTGTGGGAACCAGTGACACTACTATAGTGATTAGTGCTACAAATATGCACTGTCACTGAAGTAATGACTCTGGCTGGAAAGGTGTTAAACATCTAGGGTGATCAAAGGGTTAAATGTGTGCCAAACCAGTGTTTTTGTGTACTATGTGTGTTGCTTTCACTTAGGGATGTGGTGGATTTTATTCTCTGCTTTACATCAAATCTTCACTGTCACGACAGAGCTCTGCATTGTTTACATATGCAGGGCTCCTTCCAGCCTCTCTCCTGGACGATCAGCAGGGGTCGGCTGACATCCATTTGCCAACACCCGTTGATCAGCTTCTGCTTTGACTAATCACAGCAGAAGCGGTTTGCAGGTGGTGTTCCTGCACCCCCAACCTGGAAGTTCAGAATCACGCATATCAATGTGTTAAGAACCGCCTGGCAGTGTCTCTAGCAGCCCACAGCACGGATTTCCCCAGGGCGCGGGGTCTAAGTCCCAGCCTGCTATTCACCAGGGCCCCGGATGGTGGGGATGGACTTGGTGCAGACTGGAACCAGGTCGCGACCCCTGAGAGCATCCAGCTGTGGTAGAGAGCACCGGCAGGGGTCTGCCGGAATGGAGTCTGATGGGAAGAGGCAGGCAGACTTGCTACTAGTGATCCGTGCTGGATGGATGGATCGGAGGGTGAGTAAGCGTAGTCAGGGCAGCACGGTACAAGAGGAGCAGGCAGAGAATGGTCGGGGTCACAAGCCAGGTTCAGCAGTTTGCGGGCAGCGCGGTACCAGGGATCAGGCAGAAGAATCGTCAGGCAAGCCAGGGGTCAATCAGTAGAATCCGGTCAGGTACAAGCAGAGATTGGCAACGGAAATAACACAGGAATACAATCAGGAACAGAGCAGGTAAGACCAAACGGCAATTTGACATACCTGGTTCCTCGTTTAAATAGCCCGCCCTGCGCTATCATTGGTGCCAGGCGCCGCCGTGCACGCCCAGGTCCCGATGCTCATCCGCTAGCGAGGACTGGTGTTCTGCGCATGCGCCGCCCGGCGCGATGCCGCAGAACACTCGCGTCCTGACACAATGTGATTCTGCACAGAACGGCTGCCCTATAGCAGTAAATCTGCTATAGGGTAGTCAGCAAGCGGTTAATTTTTTTTATTTGAAAATGTGGCATACTAATATATGCTTAAGTTCAATAATGTAATGTATATAATGTATGCAATGTAATGTATGGATGACTAAAACAGCTTTTGACCTTCAAAAGTATTTCAAATAACTGAAGAATCTCTTATGTTACCAAAGAGAAATAATGTTATCACCATATTCTGCAATCACATATGGTTGTGTTTATATACATGTGTAAAGTCGTGGGAGTGTGATCAATTAACATAATCAGAACAAGTTCTTTTGTGAAAAGGGAGCTCATTCACATGCAAATGCTGTCAAGCTATATATATTTAGTGTCTCTTTTCAGTAGATGGCCATTTTAAAACAACAGGCAATACAAATAGAATAGTGTTCCCCTACTGATAAGCATGATGTTTTAAACCTTCTAATTATTGATGAAACGATTCTGCAGCAAATACTTACGAAATGCTTATCCTTTCTCTTACAATATTGCAAATTTTAATTCCATCAACCTTTTTCCATGCCACTTATTCTCACTCTGAGAAATCATCCAGCAATGGTGATATCCTAGAATTATCTGCTATTGTTTTTGTGTCATGTGTGCTATGACCAGCTGTTCTCAGATTGAGCTGAAATTGCAAATATTGCAATGGTTTCACTTTTGAGCTTATACAGGCATTAACCACTTTAGCCCCTAGACATTTCTGAAATTCTTCTCCTACATGTAAAAATAAAAAATAAGCATTTTTTGCTAGAAAGTTATTTAGATCCCCCAAATATTACACTCACTGGCCACTTTATTAGATTCACCTTGCTAGTGCCATGAAAATTTCCCCCACACCCAGTGGTGTATTTATGTTTAGTGCTGCCCTAGGCAACACAAAAATTGTGTCCCCCCCCAATAAGAGAGCAAGAGAGTTCAATGAGTGAGTGTGTGTATATACAGTTGCAAGAAAAAGTATGTGAACCCCTTGGGATTACGTGAAGTTTTGCATGAATTGGGCATAAAATGTGCTCTGAACGTCATCTAAGTCACAACAATAGAAGAACACAGTCTGCTGAACATAATACTACACAAACATTAGATGTTGCCATGGTTTAATTGCACATAACATGTAAACATTCACAGTGCAGGGAGGAAAAAGTATGTGAGGCCCTAGCTTAATGACTTCTCCCAGAGCTAATTGGAGCCAGGAGTGAGCCAACCTTGACTCCAATCAGTGTGATGATATTGGATGTGTTGCTGACAGCTGTCCTGCCCTTAAAAAACACACACCTGTTTTGGGTTTACTGGTTTCAAGAAGCACTGTCTGATGTGAACCATGCCTCGCAGAAAAGAGCTCTCAGAAGACATACGATCAAGAATTGTTGACTTGCATGAAGCTGGAAAGGGTTACAAAAGTATCTCCAAAAGCCTTGATGTTCATGTGTCCATGGTAAGACAGACTGTCTACAAATGGAGAAAGTTTAGCACTGTTGCTACTCTCCCTAGGCGTGGTCGTCCTGTAAAAATGACTGCAAGAGCACAGCGCAGAATGCTGCATGAGGTAAAGAAGAATCCCAGAGTGTCAGCTAAAGACCTACAGAAATCTCTGGCACATGCTAACATTTTTGTTGACACATCTACAATAAGGAAAACATTAAACAAGAATGGAGTACATGGGAGGACACCACGGAGGAAGCCATTGCTGTCCAAAAAGAATATTGCAGAAAGTTTGAAGTTTGCAAAAGAGCACCTGGATGTTCCACAGCACTACTGGCAAAATATACTGTGGACAGATGAAACCAAGATTGAGTTGTTTGGGAAGAACACACAAACACTATGTGTGGAGAAAAAAAGGCACAGCACACCAACATCAAAACCTCATCCCCACTGTAAAACATGGCAGAGGGAGCATCATGGTTTGGGGCTGCTTTGCTGCCTCAGGGCCTGGACGGATTGTTGTCATTGATGGGAAAATGAATTCCAGAGTTTATCAAGACATTTTGCAGGAAAACGTACGACCATCTGTTCGCCAACTTAAGCTCCGCAGAGGATGGGAGATGCAACAGGACAATGACCCAAAGCGTACCAGTAATTTAACAAAACAATGGCTGCAACAGCACAGAATACGCCTTCTGGAGTGGCCCAGTCAGAGTCCTGACCTCAACCCGATTGAAATGCTGTGGCATGACCTTAAGAGAGAGCGATTCACACCAGACATCCCAAGAATATTGCTACACTGAAACAGTTTTGTGAAGAGGAGTGGTCCAAAATTACTCCAGATCGTTGTGCAGGTCTGATCTGCAACTACAGGAAATGTTTGGTTGAGGTTATTGCTGCCAAAGAAGGGTCAACCAGTTATTAAGTCCAAAGGTTCACATACTTTTTCCTCCCTGCACTGTGAATGTTTACATGTTATGTGCAATTAAACCATGGCAACATCTAATGTTTGTGTAGTATTATGTTCAGCAGACTGTGTTCTTCTATTGTTGTGACTTAGATGACGTTCAGAGCACATTTTATGCCCAAGTCATGCAAAACTTCAAGTAATCCCAAGGGGTTCACATACTTTTTCTTGCAACTGTATATGATTATTTCTCTCCTTCTTCCCTCTCTCTTTCTCTCTCTCTCTCTCACTCTTCCCTCTCTTTCTCTCCCCCCTCTTTCTTCCCTCTCTCTCTTCCCTCTCTCTCTCTCTTCCCTCTCTCCCTCTCTCACTCCTCCCTCTCATTCTTCCCTCTCTCTCCCTCTCACTCTTCCCTCTATTTCTCTCTCAATCTTCCCTCTCTCTTCCCTCTCACTCTTCCCTCTCACTCTTCCCTCTCTTTCCCCTCTCACTCCTCCCTCTCTCTCTCTCCCTCTCACTCTTCCCTTTCTCTCTCCTCTCACCCCCCTCTCTCTCCCCCCCCTCTCTCTCTTCCCTCTCTCTCTCCCTCTCTCTCTTCCCTCCCTCTCTTCCCTCCCACTCGTCTCTCTCTCTCTCTCTAGCAGCAGAAAGCTGGTGGGAAGGATAAACCTGCTTTCAGCTGCTGGAGGGAGAGATACACAAGGCATCATTCTGCAACTGCTCTCCACCAGCACACTGATCCTCCTGCTGTCTGGGCCACCTACAGGAGTACCAGTGGTACCCCTCAGATGGCAGCCCTGCATGGCTCAGTCCGCCGCTGCTCACCAGGTCCCTTCTTCCAAGGGGTGGTGCCGCCCCCCTAAAAATTGCCACCCTAGGCAAACCCCTTGTTTGTCTTGCAATAAATACACCACTGCCCACACCATTACACCACCAACCTGAACCGTTGATACAAAGCAGGATGGATCCATGCTTTCATTTTGTTTTATGCCAAATTCTGACCCTACCATCTGAATGTTGCAGCAGCCAGTCTGCCCATTCTCCCCTGACCTCTGACATCTACAAGGCATTTTTGTCCACACAGCTGCAGCTTAATGAATATTTTCTCTTTGGTGGACCATTCTCTGTAAACCTTAGAGATGGTTGTGGGAGAATATCCCAATAGATCAGCAGTTTTTAAAATACTCAGACCAGCCTGTCTAGCACCATCAACCATGCCACGTTCAAAGTCACTTAAATCCCCTTTCTTCCCCATTCTAATGCTTGGTTTGAACTTCAGCAAATCATCTTTACCATGTCTAGAGGCTTAAATGCATTGTGTTGCTGCCATGTGATTGGCTGATTAGCAATTTGTGTTACCAAGAAATTGAACAGGTGTACTTAAAAAAGTGGCCGGTGAGTGTATATTTCTTTAAGCAGAGGCCCTAGAGAACAGAATAGTGGGTGTTGCAATGTCACACTGTATATGCACAGATGTTTTTCAAATGCATTTTTTTAAATGAATATTTTAAGGCACAAAAACACAACATAATACCCAATTGTTTGGTAAAATATATAATATGATGTTACACCAAGTAAATAGATACCTAATATATCATGCTTTAAATCTGCTCATGCTTGTGGAGCTGCGACAAACTGCAGTACAATAAATTATCCATAGACGATGCTTTAAAAGCCTTTACTGGTTACCAATTTAAAGTTACACAGAAGTTCTGGTGCTAGAATTATTGCTTTCACTACAACATTTGCATCTATACCTCACATGTGTCTTGCAAACACCATTTCTGTGTGTGATTAGGCATGTGTTCACCATGGCGCGTGAGTACAGGGTGATGGAGGAGTTTTAACTTTTTTTATTATTTATTTTATTTAGTTTTTTTTTACACTGTATCTTTAAAAAATTTTAAAGTACCTCTTGAGCACTTCTGAAGAAGAGACTGTGATTGAACTAGAAACGAATCAGTTGCAACACATACATGACCGATTTTCACATTACTACTGGAATACCAGCTTTTGACAACACTGCCATATTCTGTATTGTAACTCGTATGTCTCTTTCTAAGATTGTATAAATAAAAATTGATTATTTTTTAACTTTTGACCTATCAGTTCACTTTTTGATAAACCTATGCTTTTAAAGTCCTATCAACAAGAGGACTTCTCTACTGTATGCTTTCAGGGATGATGGCACCTTCTGTAATGTATTCCTGCCCTTTTCTGTATATTTTCATGTTAATTGCAGGTATGCTATGCAAAAGGCAAATGTTAAATTTGAAGATATTTGTAACCTCTCACATAGATCACAGTACTCCTGCTGATAATGCCTTTATCTGCTATTATCACCAGAAGGATGGAGCCATCTTTGTTCAGCCATCATCCAGGCTCAGAATCTACTTCCTGGACT